AACAGAGAGATGACGAAAGACAGAGTGAGCCCACACCTGTTTTAGACAAACTTTAAGAACAAAACACTACAGGCATACAAAGCAATGGGATTGAAATAGATCAAGTTATAACTATCTCCACCCATTGGATGGTTTCTAATGCCTGATTTTAGAAGAAACTCCCAGAAAACGAAAATAAAAACCAGACAAAGTCCTGACTCACATTCCCAGAATGTCTGAGAAAGGGGTGCACTTGGGGTGAGTACTTGCCTGCTCTAAGCCAGGCACAGGCAAACTTTGGCCCTTCAGGTGTTTTGGACTTCAACTCCCACAATACTTGACAGCTGGTAAATTGTAGGAGTTGAAGTCCAAAACACCTGAAGAGCCAAAGATTGCCCATGCCATGCTTGATATAAACATGCCATTGCAGTTGAGATGGGAGCTCCTGCACTCACTAGTTCAAATCAAAGAATAAAAGTCTCAGTCTCATATGTACTGACTCAGGAGTAAGTACCCCGCTTAGATTTAATAGCATCTCAAATTGGATTCTGAGTGATCATTTGACACTTAGCATAAAGAGAAGGGGGGACAAGGAGTTCCTCTTCCACCCAAACAAATCTGTGCTTTGAGAAGAAAGGTAAAAGACGTCTTCACATCATAGAATTCTAGAGTTGGAAGAGACAGCCATCCAGTCTCTGTTTAAAAGCCTCCAAAGAAGGACCCTCCACTGGACTCTAAGAACTCTAGTTCTTATGGTCAGGAAGTTCTTTCTGGTGTTTAGGTGAGATCTCCTTCTCTGTCATTTGAACCCAGTGGATGTGACTCTTAATGAGACATGCTACATGATCACAGGATGTCTACACCCAACATGACTGGAGAAATTATATTGTTTAGCCGGTATTTCACCATCTGATATCCACCGGGAAATAGACTGTATTGAAAGGACCAGGGATTGACATCTCCGGCCCATCCTCTGTTCAGATATCAGCCAGCAAGCCAACAACTTAAATAAAGAAATAGCTTCCTAAGATCTACAGAGATACTCACAGGAACACCTCAGCAAGCAAGAGTCCAAAAGTGGCAGGCTAAAACCTGCAGCCTCAAACAGTGGCTGACACCAGATGAGAAATTTCCTCCTGGGCACGCAGAAGACTGAGCAATTTGGAAGGTGCTGAACAGACTGCACGCTGGCACCATGAGAACCAGAGCCAATCTTAAGAAATGGAGCCACAAAGTGGAGTCCACGACATGAGTGTGGAGAAGAGCAAACCACAGACCATCTACTATAATACAGCCTGAGCCCTGCCACATGCACAATGGAGCACCTTCTTATAGCGACACCAGAGGCACTCGAAGTGGCAGGCTTCTGGTTAAAGGACATTTAGCATAATGCCAATTTTTAACTTTGTGGTTTTTTATACATTATAAATGTATTCTCTGTTTGCTTCTGACACAATAAATAAATACATTTGAACCCATGGCTCCGCTGAGTCCATCTCCACATCAAAACACCAGATGAGGTAGAAGTGGGAGCTACTGGCCCTGCTCCCAGGCAGACAGGCTCACCAAGGGCTCTTCCATACAGCTATATAACCCTGGGCAAAAGTATGATAGCTGGCACCCAATGCTGGTGGCACAATGCGGGTCGGAAGTACAGAAGCAAAGTCGTTACATATTTGAACGTGTTTGCTGTCCCCCCTCCCCGCACACACTTTCTGGTAAACTATCTTGCCACAACTGTCTCTCACTTGCTGTGCTCTCTCGGCACTGAGTCCCAGCTATCATACTTTTGCCTAACCCAGAATATCAAGGCAGATAATCCACAATATCCGCCTTGAACCAGGTTATCTGAGTCCACACTGCCATATAATCCCTTTCAATGTGGATTTTATACAGCTGTCTGGCCTTCCACGGCTGCTTGCCATTTGACAAGGCTGCTTTCAGTCACACACACTTACTTGGATTTGTGTCTCATGCTACTTCATCACACTAGAGCAGTGGTTCTCAACCTGGGGTCCCCAGATGTTTTTGGCCTACAACTCCCAGAAATCCCAGCCAGTTTACCAGCAGTTAGGATTTCTGGGAGTTGAAGGCCAAAAATATCTGGGGACCCCAAGTTGAGAACCACTGAATCATAGAATCAAAGAGTTGGAAGAGACCTCATGGGCATCCAGTCCAACCCCCTGCCAAGAAGCAGGAATATTGCATTCAAATCACCCCTGACAGATGGCCATCCAGCCTCTGTTTAAAAGCTTCCAAAGAAGGAGCCTCCACCACACTCCGGGGCAGAGAGTTCCACTGCTGAACGGCTCTCACAGTCAGGAAGTTCTTCCTCATGTTCAGATGGAATCTCTCTCTTGTAGTTTGAAGCCATTGTTCCACGTCCTAGTCTCCAAGGAAGCAGAAAACAAGCTTGCTCCCTCCTCCCTGTGGCTTCCTCTCACATATTTATACATTGCTATCATATCTTCAGCCAACCTAGCAGTTCGAAAACATGCAAATGTGAGTAGATCAATAGGTACTTCTCTGACGGGAAGGTAACGGCGCTCCATGCAGTCATGCCGGCCACATGACCTTGGAGGTGTCTACGGACAACGTCGGCTCTTCGGCTTAAAAATGGAGATGAGCACCACACCCCAGAGTCAGACATGACTGGACTTAATGTCAGGGGACAATCTTTACCTTTATCATATCTCCTCTCAGCCTTCTCTTCTTCAGGCTAAACATGCCCAGCTCCTTAAGCCGCTCCTCATAGGCTTGTTCTCCAGACCCTTGATCATTTTAGAGATCAAGAGAATGAATCCACTTTGAACCCGGTTTCTGCCTCGTGCAGAATTCTGGAATTTGTTGTTTAGTGAGGCTGTCAAAGGCTCCTCCCTTAAACTGCAAACCCCAGAATTCTGCAGGAGGCAGAAGCAGGATTTAAAGTGGATTCATTCTTTAGTGTGATGAGGTCCCTTGTGAGGAAGCTGGGCTTGAAACAACCCCCTTTGACATCTCAAAGGCCCAAGTTGTGGCCATGCCAGTTGAGGCTGCTGGGAGTTGCAATCCAGCAGCACTATTATTTATTTATTTATTTATTTATTTTATTTGTATACCGCTCTTCTCAGCCCTTGGGCGACTCAGAGCGGTTTACAACAGTTTAGGTATACAGGATACAAAATCATTATGCATTTAAAATACAGAAGCATCACAAGTCATTAACATCATTAACATAGGCATCAAAACATCAATACATCAATATAACAAATCCATCCGGTCTAGTCGGTGAAATCACAATCCAAAACTCGTTGTCCGTTATTCCGTGTTCCAATAATCAGTTAATCAATCACACTGCTTAGTCGAATGCCTGTTCAAACATCCAGGTCTTTACTTTCCTCCAGAATGCCAGGAGGAGGCCGATCTAATATCTGCAGGAAGGGCGTTCCACAGCCGAGGGGCCACCACTGAGAAGGCCCTGTCTCTCATCCCCGCCAGGCGTGCTTGTGAGGCCGGCGGGATCGAGAGCAGTGCCTCCCCGGACGATCTTAATGTCCTAACTGGTTCATAGGAGGAGATGCATTCAGACAGGTAGGTCGGGCCAGAACCGTTTAGGGCTTTAAAGGCTAAAGCCAGCACTTTGAATTGTGCCCGGTAGCAAATTGGCAGCCAGTGGAGCTGGCGCAACAGAGGAGTGGTATGCTCCCTGTACCCCGCTCTTGTTAGCAGTCTGGCTGCCGATCGTTGGACTAGTTGGAGCTTCCGAGCTGTCTTCAAAGGCAACCCCACGTAGAGAGCATTGCAGTAGTCTAAACGGGATGTAACCAGAGCATGGACTACCGTGGCCAAGTCAGACTTCCCAAGGTACGGGCGCAGCTGGCGCACAAGTTTTAATTGTGCAAAAGCTCCCCTGGTCACCGCCGAAACCTGGGGTTCCAGGCTCAGAGATGACTCCAGGATCACTCCCAAACTGCAAACCTGTGTCTTCAGGGGGAGTGTAACCCCATCCAGCACAGGCTGTAACCCTATACCCTGTTCGGCCTTGCGACTGTATTTATTTATTTATTTATTTCCAGCACTTATACCCTGCCCTTCTCACCCCCAAGGGGGGACACTCAGGGCGGCTTACACAACGAGGCACCATTCCGCTCCCATACAATTACAGTTATACAAAATGACAATCATAATTGAAACAATTAAAACAGTTATCATAGATAAAACCACAATGCAATTAACAATCAATAACAACCTATAGAACAATTCACGTGTTCAGCATTCGTCTTTCCGGGTTCCAGGTCCCATTCCATTATACCTTTCCTAGATAGTGTCAATTATTTACCTGCTCATTTGCCAAACGCTTGGTCCCACATCCATGTTTTGAGTTTTCTCCTAAAGGAGAGGAGTGAGGTTGCTGTTCTGATTTCCCCGGGGAGCGAGTTCCACAGGCAGGGGGCCGCCACCGAGAAGGCCCTGCTCCTCGTCCCCGCCAACCTCACTTGTGACACTGGCGGGGTCGAGAGCAGGGCCCCCCCGGCCGATCTTAAACTCCGGGGTGGGACGTAAAGGGAGATCCGTTCGGACAAATACACTGGGCCAGAGCCGTATAGGGTTTTGTAGGTCAAAACCAGCACTTTGAATTGTGCTCGGAATTGGATCGGCAGCCAGTGGAGCTGACACAGCAGGGGGGTGGTGTGCTCCCTGTATGCCGCTCCGGTGAGCAATCTGGCTGCCTCTTGCTGAACTAGCTGAAGTTTCCGAGCAGTCTTCAAAGGCAACCCCACGTAGATGCGTTGCAGTAATCTAATCGGGATGTAACAAGAGCGTGGACCACCGTAGAAGGTCCTGGACTGCCCTAAAGAAGAGGGGAGGAAGCTTTCTCCAATAAGACACTCTTTAAGGCAGTGGTTCCCCAGATGTTTTGGCCTTCAACTCCCAGAAATCCTAAACTGGCTGGGATTTCTGGGAATCGTAGGCCAAAACACCTGAAGACCCACAGGTTGAGAACCACTGCTCTGAGGGGCAAACCTTGCCTAGGTACTCACCTTCTGAGAGGAAAAGGGACCCTTCCCTGATACGAGAGATCTATCCGTCGAAATAGTGTAACATTCTCTGTTCTGGGCCCGGGTTCCCCTCAGCTGGGCCAAGAGGGGCCTCGCAGAACTGCTCCCAAGTCCCCTCAGAGAGCTAACTTCCTTCCTCCCTCCTGCCTCCGCCTTCCAGCTGAGGGGAAGGAAGCTTCCGCGGGAGGCGAGGGGCAGAACGAGGGAGGGAGGCGGCGGAGGGGCCCCGAAAGCGGCGTGTGAGGAGAAAGGCGGCCCAGCCCCGAAGCGGACGGCGAGAGAGAGGGTCCAATTCACTCACCCCGTCCACACCAGGCGCCTGCCTCACAGCAACCAGGGCTCCCACTCCAGCGCAGACTCCCTGCATCACTTCCGGGGGGTGTGGCCACGCGGGAGAGTCAGCTGGAGGCGCCGTGACGTCAGCGCGCCGCACGCAGCGACTCTCCTCCACCGCCTCCCCTTCTGTATGGCATCTCCTGGCGTCTGAGGTGAGTTGGGTCGAACCATTCCGGTAAAGAGAGAATAACAAGGAAAAGAGGGGAATGTTTAGGGCGGCGGGGAGACAAGGGGCCGTGTTATACAGGCAACATGGAAGGTTTGTAAATGAGAGGCTGTTGATGGCGCTTGCCACCATCCACCCTCCCCCCCTTTGCCGCATATTGGTACAGTCCGGATGAGCTGCGCATGCGTGCGTCTTGCCCTGGCCGGTAGGGGGCGCTCGAGCTCGCCTTGGGGCTGTCAAAATGGCGGCGCTAAGGAGGCAGCAGGCCTTCACAGGTAGAAAGGCTCCTGCCTGAGGCTTAAGGGCCTACTCTTTTAATGGTGGGGCGGAAGAGGGGTTAATACCTGAATAACCTACACCACTGGAGAAATTACACTGCTTAGCCGGTATTGCACCACCTG